ATTTGCGAAGGGGGGGGGTCGACGACGCCAGGGGGGGGCTATGTGGGTGGCAAGCCCACGAGCATACGGCACGTCCGTCCATAGGGCCCTCGCCACAGCAGGCATCGCCACATACCAAGCAACCCATCAGGTCGTCCTGGACCATGGGGCCCTGGCCCATCCATGGAGCCCTCGCCCTCCGCCGCGACCTTCGCATAGACTCCGACATTCATGGGCTCCTCGCCCACAACCGCCCTCCTCCTCAGCCTCCTCCTCCTCCCACTCCTCCGACTCCTCCTCGCCTCCTCCTCCCCCTCCCCCTGGTCACCGCCATCGTCATCGCACCCATCGCCATCGCCATCGCCATCACCCTCCCCACTCATCGCTATCGTCGCCATCATCATCACAATAATCATCCACCTCTCGTCGCTCTCCCCCCTCCTCCTCCCCCTTCCCCCCCCCCTGCTTCTTCCTCATCGCCACTGCCGCATAATGATTAATAATCCTGTGCTGCGTCGGCATCAGCATTACTGCAACCGCTGTTGCCCCCACCATGACAGGCCGCCGTTGCTTTCCGCATCGCCTTCTTTTCGTCACCATCGCCATCATCACCACAGCATAATGATCACCGGATCGCGTTCCTCATTATTTGTTTTTTGCTCTGCATCGCGATCCGAACAGTGCTCCTCTTCTTCCTTCTACCCCCCCATCCTCGACCTCCTCCACTTCTTCCTCCACCTCCTCCTCCCTCCCCCCCTTGTCCTCCTCCTCTCCTTCCTCCCCCTTTTCCTCCTCTCCCTCCTCCCTCCGTCCTCCCCCATCCTCCTCCTCCTACTCGTCCTCCTCCTCCTCCCCGTTCTCCTCCGCCTCCTCCCCCATCCCCCTCCCTCTCCTTCCTCCCCCTGCTCCTCCCTGTTCCCTTCCCTTCCTCCTCCTCCTCTTCAACCTTCTCCTCCTTCCTCCTCCTCCTCTCCCTCCTCCTCCTCCATCTCCTCGTCCACCACCTCCCGTGCAGCGCGCGCTGACAAAGCTGCCCCTGGCGCGAGCCCCCCTGAGCCTGCCCGAGGCTTGGTGGGGTAGCTGCAGGCGGGGGGGCATCCTCCACCATGGCTCACATGCAGAAGACGGAGCTCTGCCGGTTCAGAGGTGAAAATTTCCCCAGGCAGGGGGATGGGATGGGGGCGGGACGGACGACGACGGAGCCCATCATCCCGCCCCCGCCCCGCCCCCCCTGCCGGGGGTAAGTTTCACTTCTATGAGGTTCTATTGGAACAGCTACAGCGGGGCTAATATGCGCTCCAGCCGCGGCGACCGCTGCGGGTGCCCTTCCCGCGATGGGCCAGGCAGGGCGGACAGGAAGGCTTGAGGTGGGACGGCGTCTCGGGCCTGCAGGGCTCAGTGGAGGGTGGTCTGGCCGGCCTCCGCCTGCTGCTGCTGCTGCTGTTGCTGCTCCCCCCACTGGAGTGAGGAGGAAAAGGGTGGTGGGACGAGAGGGGCGTCCCCCTGACGATGAGACGACTACCATGCTTTTTATACCCGAAGGCTAGGGGCAAGAAACAGTACCGAGTTCAAAGGCAAACAAGACGACGCGTGAAGAATCATCTTCTCGCACTCCCCATCCGCGGGCTTCAGCAACACCGCGCCGGTGA